CACACACACACACACACACACACACACACACACACACACACTTTAATCTGCTTGAAATAGCCCCTAAGGAGGGATACTAGTAAGTAAACAAGCACACTCTGCTATGAAATATTGAAAAGCAATATTATCTACATATTTTGGAAAAAAAATTGATGACAGGGAAAACAAATAAAAGGACAAAAGAAGAGAAGAAATATATCTTCAAAAAGATCGACTACTATCTGGTCTACAAATCTGTAGAAATATTGCACACGTATTTTATATTGCATGGATCATTAATTTCTAAAACATCTACAGCCTTATTTTGTGCAAGAGGACAAAATCATTGACCAGAAAAAAGTGCAGAGTGGAAAGAGTGTGTGTGGGGGTATCACTGAATTTTAACACTTCATCATATTTGTTTAATATGTCCTTACATTCATATGACAAAGAAAATACAGTAATGCCTTGTACAATGAAAAGCTTTTCCAGGGCTCAGAATAAAGAGATTTTTTCAATATTACTCTTGTGGAATTAGTAATTTGATTTTGCTTTAACCTTAATAAACACAAAACTTAAGCAGAGGGCACAGCGCATCTATCAAGAAACAATTCAAAGTTGGAGAGATTTCTCACACCACCGAAATGTACATCTCCCCCCCACTCTTAGTCGTAGATTACATCACATAACATCTGCCAGCCCTAAGTTAGAAGGCACAAATTAAGGACACCAATGAATAATTGTGTAGGTTTTTTTCCCTCTGACCTTATTTCTGATTCTCTTTCAAATATATGGCTGACAGTAAAATGAACAAATTTTTAAAATTAAAAATAAAAAATAAATATGTGGCTGAATTATGATCTCCCTGTATCTCCCCACTGGTAGCAGCATTCTGTTTGGTTTCATAGCAGGGAAGCAAAATAATGGGAGAAGACAATGAACTATATTCTGGACAGGCCTTGGGTTTCATAGAAAAGTTGATGGGAGACAGGGCAAGTCTGAGCAGTCCCATAAGTAAGGAGCCTCCTCTCATAGGGACTCTTTGTAACGTGTCCATTTCTGGTTTTGATAGCACCAACAGTATCGACTACAGTAACTTAGGAGTGGTGCTCCTAAGCCTATTTAGTGCTTTTCCTGTTGAAGAGAGAGCAAGGAATAATGAACCTTTAGCTATAATGCAATGTTTTGGGGACATAACTAAACTCTGCTACCACCATTTCTGACATTTCTCCTCTACTTTTTGATTCATGGGGTTTTCTCCTTTGCCTTTCAGCCAACCATTTTTCAATACTCTGACACTAACTCAGGTCATAAAATACACACACACACATTCAATTCCTGATTTCTTATCTTCACACATTTCTCAGTCAAATCCTTCAGTTCATTTTTTGTTTAAGTCCAATTAAGTCAACTTGTAATCCTCCATTCTGGAGTTCTATGTTCAAAGGAAAATCATCATGTCCCATTTATTGGGGAGGGAGAAAGAGGTTGATTTAAAACAAAATGAAAGAGAGAATTCAAGCCTTTTACAATGATAATCATCCTTTCTTTTCCCAGGTGAACTAAGACTACAAATCTGAGCACTCATAACAAAAGTACTGAAATATATGTTTGGTGAAAATAATACAGAATACATATTTGGGGAGTCAATCTCTAGTATTAACTTTAAAACAACAACAATAAGAATAAAAATGATGCTCTAAACTATTTTTTCAGTGTTCGAATTATATGAAAATGAACTCAAAAACTTTGTGAATACAATAAAAGAAACAAGTTTCAAATCAATTCCAGCCAAAGAATTCCTTACTTTCAGCTGCAGGTAAACTAAGGTAGAATCAGGATCCTTCTATTCTCCAAATGATGAACACGTGCTCATTCTAGAGATGGTATGTTTTTTCTCTTATTAATATTTTAATTGTATCACACTCCCCAGATGTGATTTCACCTTTGTTTCTCCTTTGTGGAGATTCTGGCCACCTCTGGCACTGTAAAGACTAGACATGCTGATTCAATCCCCATCTGGCAGATTAAAGACAAAGTACAGCCAAAAAGCTGTTATCACTGAGGAGGCAAACAACACAAGCCACCCAGCTCCAGTGACTGAGACCCTGCAGTGGCCATGGCTTTGAGTCCCTAGCATTGTCTTGTGCAGGGGTGAGTCCCCAATAGTACAGAGAGCTCTCTGCCCCATGCATATTATAAAGTACAGCAAAGACAGAGACCCCTGTAAAYTTGTGACCCCCAAACTACTCAGCCCTCTACACCCAAAATGCCACTATGAGAATTTTCAGTCTTAAAGATTGTGAGCATCCCTCCAAAAGATGTAGCTTAGATATTCTTGATTCTGGACAAGTGGCAGCTACTGCCACAAGTGAGACCAGCACTAAGCACCATTACAAATAAAAACTGGGGGTTTTAAAGGTGATGCTAATCTTATTTTTTCCCAGACTTCAAAACACCAAGACTTTCCTCTTTAAAATTTCTTACTCAAATAAGACTAAGCGTATTCCAGATTGTAATGATCTTAAAGAGGGAAGAAAAGAGAAAGAGGGTGTTCATTTCTTATGTCCATTAATTCCAGTGATACCCTAGTAGTTGTAGCGACTCGACTCCATTTCCTCCAGTACTGACAAGGTGGAATGTATAAAGGCCTCCTCCCCCGCTACTTTATAGTCCTCAAGGCCAGGTTTTTCCATCCCGTTAACCCAAACTACAATGTAGCCACGTGTGACCCCTTAGCTTATATAATCTGACAAACGTCCAGCTGCTCATCACTCTCAGGTTCCCTAACACCACCTTCATCCTATTTATGGTTCCTCTAAAAACTCTGTAAACATCAAAGCCACCTCAAAACAAATCAATGCAACCCAAGACTCTGTGGGAGAGCATCGTCCCCTATTTTGCCATGGGTCCCACTAAACTCAGAGAACAGCTTCTTTGCCTGCTTTCGCAGAAAGCACGTTTCTCTGAAAGCCAAGCTCCTTGCACCGTGCCCAGTACCTTTCCAAGGCTGTGCTGTATATAAATTATTTCCAAGTGTCACTGAGGACCATTTTCTCTGAACATACTAAACTGAAGCTAGCAATAAAACAAGACAGACGTTCCTGCGGAAGAATCTGACATGGGCAAGATTACGCTTGTATATTACCAGGGGACGAAGATAAGAGTTTTAATGAAGAAATGTTTGGGAGCCTCAAGGAAAAGTGGGAAGGAGAGGATCAACACTATTTCAGCTCATTTATCCCCAGGTGTTAGGGGAAGGAAGCCTGCGGTAGGAAGACCTCCGGCCAAAGCATAAACAACCTCGGAAATTTTCAGAGAAGGCAAAAGTACCCACAGGATCGCAGGGGACCCTGCCACCGGCGAGTTTCAAACACACTTCRAACATCTTTTCTTCCGCGACCTGGATCTTTGCATGCACCCCATCTCCTTGGCACCCCCATTCCCAGGGCTCCCACCTCCCCTTCCCAGTCCCGCCTGGGTGGCTGTCTCTCATGCAGCGAAGGCAACAAGCGTCCCCCCGCCCCCAGCCAAGGAAAGGGCAGCCCCGTCTCAGCTTGTGGGGGAAGGAGGTGGAAGCTGAGAGCCCGCTCGCATGCTTATTGCATCCTACCGCCTGTGGAGCTCGCCTCCTCCAGCTGAGCCGAGATGCTTTCCACCCTCCTCACATTCATCTTTGGGGACGCAGGGTGCAAGAGCGAGACTCGGGAGTCAGCGGGTCCGGACGTCTGTCGCTGGGGTTGGCACCAGAGCGCACCGCCGCTTGGTCCTCGGCGTCCGTGGCGCTAGGAGCAGGAGAGTCGGTGGCGGCGGCGGCGGCGGGCAGGGCGCGGAACCGGCTGCAGGTGCGGCGGAGGCCGGCGGGGGGCGCCGGGGGCGCTGCGCGGCGCTGGGCGGCGGGGTGCGCGGGCGGCTGGAGAGCGGTGCGCTGCGCCGCCAGCGGGAGTGGAGTCGTCCTCTCCCCTTGCCCGATCGGGTGCCGCCTCTGCCACCTGCTGCCGAGTCACGAGATGAGGGGTCGTGGGGTACCTCGGCGTGGTACCTCCAATGACAGAGCAGATGGACCCTAAAAGGATCCGAGGCCCCCTTGCAAGAGTTGCCACTCAGTATTCAGCGGGAGCGTCCAGGGTCCCTTTTGTGGCGTGTAGCGCTTGACTCTTGGGAGGGGCTCACAACAGCTCCTTAGCAGAGAAAGCGCCGCTGGATCCCCCRGGGGGATTTAACTCCTACCAGCCCCGGTAGGGTGCGGCACAAAGTTAGACCTAGTTTGAAGGACACCAGAAGGGAAGCGCAAGGAGATGTCCTTCTCCAGCATCGGGCAGAGCGCCAGGAGCTCCTAGATGGGAAACTCTCCCAGCTGAAGCTAAACCAGTCATGCGACTTGGCTAGGTGTTGGGAAAAACTGCTTCTAGACACCAGGCTGAGCAGGGCAAGGCCGAGGTGAACAACTCCACCGTGGAGAGGGCTCCAGTAGACTGAAACAAGTTGCAGAAGGGAAAGTTTTATCACAAAGTTTTCCCCTCCTCCCACAGCCATTCACTACCCAGGGTCATCTGCCTTAAGTAAACCAAGGCCAGGAATAGTAGGGATGGCAAAGACGAACCAATAGACCACTTGTGGCCATGGTTACTATTTGAGAACTGAAAAGTAAAATGCAGACTTCTGTGCCTCCAGGAATTAAGTGTATGAAGGCTCTTTTGAGAAGAAAGGTCAAGTTGACCAGTTCTCTTGGCAAACAGAATTAAAATTCCCTCCCACTCTCAGCTGCAGGGTCAATTGGCCCTGACATGGGTGGAAGTAATTTCTAAGTGTTTGTAAAACCATTCACTCCTGTGGCCACCTAGTTATACATACTATCACTAACAAAATCTTGCCCCTTTCTCCAAGTGGGTTTCAGCTGACATCTGCTTACCTATCACTTCACTCCTAATCCCATAAGTGACTCATTTGTTCTTTGGAGCACTTGCAGCATATGTTGTACATTTCCTGTGATACTGCCTGCTCTCCTATTAGTTCAGGTTAAGGGGACAGGTGTTGACATCATCATTGTCTGGATTCAAATCCTAGTTTTACTAATTACAATCATTTGACTTGGTGTAAATCATTGACTCAGCTGTAAAATAGTACCCACTTATTGTTTTTTTTTTTTAGTGACGATTTAAAGAAATCAATGGATGTCAAGGTCTTAGGGCAATGCTTGGCACACAATAATCATGTAAGTATAAGCTACTCTTATATTCGAAGTTGAGAACAATACGGTATTGACACAGTAATTAGCACGATTCCTTGCACATATTGGTTCTAGCTAAAGACTTCATTATTCAACAAATATCTAGTAATTACTAAGTTCAAGGCACAATTATAGGCATTGGGATATTCCACTGTGCAAAACAAAGCCACCCCTCCCCCTTACTGGCTTGCCTTCTAGAGTACAGGGAAGATTGACCATAAATCAAAGAATCGGTTTGGTCTTCTGGGGAAGGCACTCTTTTATGCAGGGGCTGAGGAAGGACTCATGAAAGCAACACTTAAGCATCATCCTGATGACAGTGAAGGAGCTGTCTACAGATATTTCAAGGGACAAAGAACAGACACAAGGGTGGCATGCTTTGGGAGCAGTAGGAGTATGGCTGCAATATAGGAACATTTATTGAATTGATTGTAGTTTTAAAGCCAATGTAGTCTCCACACCTCTTAACAGGTCTACTCTCTGTCCATTCTATCAAATTTTACTGTTGAATTCTGAGTCATGTGCCACCCCTCCCTCTCCTGGATGATTCCCTCGAACAATTCCAACTTTCTGGCCAACTGTGTCTTTCTCCAATTCTGCAGCAAGTCTTTTCAGAAACTATTCCCATGACTTTTACTCTGTAAATGATGACTGACACCTGTCCAGTCCTCAATTCTACTGCTTTCTATCCAATGACTTCTAAAGCTACCTCAGTGTAAGGGTTTGGGTCCAGCCGCCTGAAGTGTTCACTGCCTCTAAGGGCAAATAACAACATGTCTCAGTTATCTCACTCTAAGATAGAAAGCAACAGTTACTACTTCAATTACCTGTTGGGAAAGTTCAAATGAGGCTGCATATAAAAGTGTTTAAAATGGTTCCTGAGAGCCAGCATGGTGGATGGTGTGGTACATGCCTGTAATCCCAGCAGCTAAGGAGGCTGAAGCAGGTGGATCACAAGTTCAAAGCCAGCCTCAGCAACTTAGTGAGACCCTGTCTCAAAATAAAACATAAAAAGGGCTCAGTGGTTAAGTGTCCCTGGATTCAATCCTTGCTACCAAAACCAAAAGGTTTCTAGCATGTAGTAAGTGAGTGCTCTGTTTAGAAGAACCAGTGTCAGCAGAGCTATCTATCATCATCACAATGTATCATGATGAACTCAAAGAAGAAAAGGCTCCACAGTGTTCTAAGACAGGTCCACCTAGCTTTCTTTCATGATGTGGAAAGTAATAYACAACTCTTTCTCCATTTACAAGATATGCAGAACATTTGGTTGGGCCAAGCCATTTCTCAATATCTTGTCTATTTTGATCTTACTATGCCTTTATCCCTGGACTAGTTATAAAGAAGACAACAATATCATGTCAAGTGGAAATTGTGCTAGAAAAGTTGGTAATATATTGTTTCCATAATATTTGTGTGGAATCTGACTACCATGTCATGTTCAGAACTCTTTATATGTGACATTGCCAAATATTATAAGGAAATCCATCTTTATTTCTTGCTACTCTTATTGTCATGTGTGATATTGGGGCTGAAGGTGTAAGGTGACTCTACTTTGCTTATTTCATCTTCTTCAGATGTACCAGTCAGAGGAGATTTGTGGACCTCAACATGAACGCCAGGCCTTTGCTCTTCCTCTGAAGCTGCAGCAACCATAGTTCCTCTTCCCAGCTCCCCAGGCATCCATACACAAAGATTTTAATTTCCATGACTAACCCTAGATTACACTTTACATAAAATGCATAATGTTCCTTCAAGGGACCTCATAAAAAATTAGGTGCAGAAATAGTAAACTCATCATGTGCCAGCCATTAAATCTCAGATTTTATGAACACTATTTCATTTAATCTTTAGTTACAAGGTAAACACTACTATCATCCCTATTTAATGAGTGAAAAAATTAAGGCTTACAGAGGTGAACTGGTTTGTCTATTTTATACCAATAGTGATCAGTATCTCTGGGATTTGAGCCCAGTAGTTTGACTCTAGAGCCCTCATACTTAATTACTACACTGTATTATCACCCTGGCCCAGGATTTAGATGCCCTGAATTCTAACATTTCCCAGATCTATGTTTTCCAGAAAGTCACCAATCATTTCTAAGCTTCAGTTCCTCTTCTGCTGAAAGGGGAATTTTTGTTTCACAAGGTCATTGTCAGGATAGGGTAATGAAAGTAAAATCAGTGTATAAACCAGGGAATGTTGTTGAAGCATTCAGGATTACTTTTATTATTGCTCTGATCTTTTATTGGCTATTACTTTATGTCTGTTCTGAAAGCCCCTTACATTTTAGCACAATTCTCCTTTGTTCACTAGGACTTAAACAATAATACTAAAACTTCTCGTATTTAATATTAGTTGAGTACCTATTTGTACCCTGAAAACTCCACATCACTATACCACTAAATACTAAGAAAAATCACTTGATAGAACTATTTTTACCCTGATTTTAAAATTAGACTGAGATTTAGAAAAGTTAAGTGGCCCAAGGTCAGTCAGTTGTGAAGAGGTACAGCTGAAATTAGAACCTACAATTATCTAATGACAAAACTGAAGCTGTCATGTGCTTCCTGATAGTTCTCAAGCTTTAGCATATATAAGAATCACATGAACATTTGGTTTAACATCTCGGCTCCAGCCACCATGATAGATTCAAGAAGAGGCCTTAGAATCTAATTTTTCACATTAGTAGACTTTATCTTTTAGAGAAGTTTTAGTTTTTTTAGGCAAACTGAGCAGAAAATACATAAAGTTCCCATGTATCTCCTCTTCATCAACAACCCCAAATTTTTCCCATTAGTAAGGCTTTGCATTCATAGGAAACATTTGCTACAATTGATAATTGATGGGCTAATAACACATAATGCTTTTCTCAAGTCCATAATTTAGACAGGACTGGTGGGCTTATACATGAAATAGAGGAAAGGCCATGTAAAGATAAATCACCTGTCTGCAAGACAGGACGACACCCCTCAGCAGAATCATAACCTCCTGTCACTTTGATCTTGGACTTCCAGAACTATAAGAAAATAAATTTCTAGTTTTTAAACTACAGAGCTTGTGATATTTTGTTATGGAAGCCTAAGCCATCTAACATGACCCAACATGGCAATCAGTACTCTGCACCAGAGGTAAGAAAGCATGGTCTGTGGCCCAGCTACCTGCGTCAATTGGCAGCTTATAAGGAATCAGGATATGGGTCCCCCATCAGACCTCCAGGATTGGTATACTCATTTTAACAGGTGGTTCCAGGTATGCAGATGAAAATGTGAGACTCTCTGCTCCACACAACGTGTGTGTTTACCTCTACCCCATGGAGCTCACTGGGCATGAGAGGAGGCTACTGTTGTAATCACAATCAATTCACTGCACTCTACCCTAGTGAGATAAACCTGTGCCCCTCCTGTGTCATCTACTTAAATGGATAGAACTGTTTGTTGTCTCCCAAAGCTTCAGGCAGCAAACATCTATAACCTTCATCATTTGCCTATACCTGCACATTTCTTAGTGCTTCTCAATCTCAGTATGATACTAATCGGGCAAAATCATCTATTCTGAGGTCCTCAAAATAATGAGGTAAACTTTTTAGGGCAGCAAAGTTA